TAGTGGATCAAGCAATTGGATCACATGAACGAAGGTTTGATCAATTCAATTCATATAAAAAAAAAATTGTATTTCTATTTTCTTCTAACAAGTTAAACTTGTTGGATGGTGCTAATTTGAAAGCATGTTGTGATCATCTTGATATTGTTTTAAAACAAGTAATTTTTTGTGATCTTGATGGCGAAGATTTATTTCAAGAGTAAAAAGTTTTGCGAAATCTTTTAAGAAATAAATAAAGACGACTTTTGATATATTGACTTATTTGAAAAGATTGGATTACTTTTCGAATACATGTATTGCTTATAGAATATTATTGACAATTTCTGTTACTATTACATTTGCTGAAAGAAGTTTTTCAAAATTGAAGTTATTATAATCTTATTTGCAATCAACCATGTTACAAGAACGATTGAATGCATTATCTTTGATATCTATTGAGCAAGGTCTTCTAGAAAATATTGATTACGAATGTTTAATTAGTGAGTTTACTTATAAAAATGCGAGAATAAATATTTTTACATGATTTGTTGCATTTCAAGCTTTACACTTGATATATATATAAAATTGCACGAAGAGGCTAGTGGCTTGGATGGTTCTTTGTTGATGACGTATGAATTTTGATGAAGTTCGAGAAATGCTTTTGAGTTTTATTTATGTTTTTCCTGTTCATATATGTAAAAATAAAAAATAAAATAAAATAAAAAAGAAAACAAATATTTAAATATCATATTTTTGCAATGAAAGAATATTATTGAATTTATTTTTTTAATATATGTTTTAGTTGCTGGAACGGACTCGCACAAGGCACTCAAAATCACAGGACCAGCTCTGCCTATCATCATGAATAATGTTTGTTCTATCACGTGAGAAACTTACAAATTATTTAGTAGGAATCTATTAGTCCAATTTAAAAAGGATTTTAACAAACGAGACCTCCAACTTCATTAGTAGTCTTACACATGCTCAAACATGCACACCAATTTAATTAAAAGTTAAAACACACAATCCTTACATCCTTTAGTCATATATAATATACTGACTTAGGCATCAACGTGTATGGAATAATTAATAACTATCATCTTTTATTATTATTTAATTTTTTAATTGGGAGAAAAAAGGACAAAATGGATTAAAGAAGCAATTAATATATTTTGACATTATTAACAACCAAACCGGTTTATCCCACGCGTTTGTCTACCTAAATACCATGTTGTGTACATGAAGTTTTAAACGTTGATGTAATTCTCTGAAGTTTTTCAGTAGAAATGGCTGTAAACGAGGAGTTATATATCACATGTAATATATTTAGAATTCGAGTACGTTGGATTATATATAACTGAACTATATCGATTTATTTTACTGCATATTTTTCTACATGAGTACTATGTAATGCTATTAATATTCAACCTGCCAATGAGATCGTCGTAGTCTAAAAAAGTTGATATGGCTATGTATAAGCAGATATTTTAGACATTAAAGCTCAACTTAGAATTTAAATTTTGATTAGTTGCCTATCCGTCCGGGGCGCCTAATTGAAGAGGAATTAGGCGTCTTGGACGGACAAACCGAGCCCATATGGCCCTGTCCAAGTATTTTTATTCCATAATTTATCAGTTAATTATCCAATATATAATAATAATAATAATAATAATAATAATCTATTTTGTCTTTTATGGTACACATTCATTCAATGTCAAGCGGTCAAGTATATGTGAAAGAGTCAAGAAAAAACACATATTTTGTTTTTATTCTTAACTATGGCCTAACAAAATATTGACTGTATACTCGGTCAAATAATATAATCATCAATTTTAAATTGAATTTTGACTGTATACTCAGTCAAATTAATAATTTAATCATCAGTTTTACATTTAAGGAGAATGTAACTTTCAGAAGTCAAAGCAAGATTAAAAGGGAATTTGATTTTATTGGCATTTATTCGTGCATATCAATATAAAGAATGATTGTGAAAGATTTTGAATAATTTTCAAAATCTCTGCATGAATGCTGAAACTGTTAAAACATGAAATTCCATATTAATTAGGCCCTAAGACTGATTTTAGAGTCAATTTTTTGTTTCCATTTTGGTTTTGGCTTATCCAATTATCTATAAATAAAATATCAATATTAATCTTAATTAACTAAATTAATCATTTTATATACTGGGTTAATTTATATTTAGTGTTTGTTTGAGCCTCATTTTCTAAAGACTCTTTTTTTTTTTTTTTTCAAAATCTTTTTCATTAACACATTTTTCCATTAGAATAATTCCGCACGTAAATTTAAAAGTAAAAAAATAAAAATACCAACTTGATAGACCAGTCGACATTCTTCGTGGCTAGCTTACCGTGGTTGGACCACATAATGTGAAATTTGATTGAATGTTCCCTTAATGAGTTTAATGTGTTGAATATTTTCCTCATTATTTTTTGAACCATGCTACATTCACACAACCATTTAAACAATGATTTTCACACTTGACACTTTGTCGCCTCCTATTGGACGGGCGGCGCCGATAGGGGGCGGCCAAGTGTCGAGTGTGTAAAAAATTGTATAAATAGTTGTGTACAAATAGTTTTATCCTTATTTTTTTCCTCTTTACACTAACTGCCATCCCCTTTTTTTCTTTTTTTCTTTTTTCAAAAAATGGTCCTTGAACTTTCTGCATTATTAATTTCAAGTCTTCAACTTTTTATTTCTTCAAATTTTGTTCTTTCAAATTTCAAAAATGCATTCTCCTATTAAAATAATTTCGCATGTAAATTCAAAATTAGTAGAAATTAAAAATACCAACCTGATAGACCGGCTGACGTTCATCGTGGATAGCTTACCGCAATTGGACCAGACATTGTGAAATTTGAATCAATGTTCCCTTTAATGTGTTGAATATTTCCCTCATTATTTTTTTTTCTCTTTACACTAACACCATCTTTTTTTTCTTTCTTTCTTTTTTTTTTTTTTTTTTTTTTTTCTTTTTCAACATTAAATTTCAAAACAAGTCCTTGAACATTTTGCATTATTAATTTCCTTCTTCAACTTTTTATTTCAAAAATACGTTTTCCCATTAAAATAATTTTGCACGTAAATTCAAAATTAGTAGAAAATAAAAATAAAAATTCCAACTTGATAGACTGGTCGACGTTCATCGTGGTCAACTTACTGCGGTTGGACCACACAATGTGAAATTTGAATGAATGTTCCCTTAATGTGTTGAATATTCTCCTCATTATTTTTTATCGCTTTACAATAGCGCCTACTTTCTTTCTTTTCATTTTTTTTTCCAACATTAAACTGCAAAGCAAGTCCTTGAACTTTCTGCATTCTTGATTTCGGTCTTCAACTTTTTATTTCATCAAATTTTGTCCTTTCAATTTTCTTATTGTTGCGCTTTGGTTCATCTTTTCATCCAATTTTGGTATTCTTTTTATCCTGGTCTTCAATATTGATCCTACAACCTCCAAAAGGAAACATTTATTCCCCAACTCCTCCATAATCACCTGAAGTTTGTTCTCCCAACTTTTGAAAATGTACAAATTAGACTCTAAACTTTTTGTAAGTTGAATTTCACTCTCGAAATTTCAAACATTTTCCGCTTGCACTCTTAATGTTTCATATCAATCCCATGCATTTTGCTTAGCCTTTAATTGTTTTGAATCAACTCTACTTTAACTCAAAAATCCTTCATTTGAGTTTGACCTATAATAACAACACTAAAGTACGTAGAAATTCTTTCAAATTTTCATATATAATTCAAGTTTTGTAGTAAAAATAAGCTTGTAAAACGCACTTATTAACTCCTTTTGCAAATTCAAAAGTAGTTTTAAAGATTATCTTCAAAATCAAGTTGTTAGAATCAACCTTTTGTACCTAATGTTTCTTCACATTAATGTTTTCTATATTTTTAATGAATTTGTTTTCATGTCTCTAATGATAGAATACATTTTCTTTTCCCAGCTTGAAAGAATGGAGAATTAGAGAGCAGATGCAAAGCCATCTCAAATATAAGGCTACCTAGGCGACTGTCTATGACCCATGTTATGATAACGTCCAAAATCATGAAAATAATATAAACACATCGAACAATAAAATTGAAAATAAATCTTGTAAAAGAGAAAAAATAGGAAAATAAAGTGAGCAACGTAATTTGCAAAAATTGAGCCAACAATCATGAAAATCATATAAAAATAAATAAAAAAGTTGAATGGTATACGTACAAAATTTAGATGATAATGAATGGGCAACATTGTGTAAATATAAGTGAACAGCCGATCAATTTTCATTTTTTTTTACGAACAAATAGTAACCAAAGGTAAATATTATTCAGTTTTAAGTGAGCAGACAATAATCCAATGTAAAAATTAGTGATTATTCATTTAGTTAAATTTAAATTTTAACATTGTTAATTTACACTAATAGAAAGGTTGAACCCCAACCTTGAGTGACAAAGTTGGAACGAAATTAAAGTAGTCCTGAATCAAGCTCCCTCTCAGAGGAAGTATAACCGATTATTCGAGTTTGGGAATCGGGATCTAGATTCAGGAACTAAAGCAACCTCTATTATTCTCCTTTTCACGAAGTGCTTTCTAGGTGGTTAATGTTATGTAAAAGTGAATTGAGTAGCCAATAATTTTTATTTTTGCATGAGCAAGTAATAAGAAAAGATAAATGTTGATAATTAGCCCTTAGGGCACAGCTCAACTGGTGGATCAATCAACATTTGTCTTGCTTTCAGCAGTAGGGTGGAGGTTCGAATTTTGGTGGGAACCTGCGGCCAGATTTATTTGGTATGGAGCAATCACATTGGAGGAGGATCTCTTGTTCGCAGAAGTGTACAGACGATGGGAGGAACCTGTGATCCAGTTGAGGCATAACCCGCGATTTACCCCCTCCAAGATTCTAGGGGCAAGGATCTTGGTCGGTCTAGGATTTAGTTTAGTATAAATTGTGATACCTGGATATTAAAAAAAAAATGTTGATAATTAACTCAAACGATTATCCAAAGGGTTTTCGCCAGAAGTTGACAAAAAGTAGAAATGAACACGAAGTGGGTCCGATCAGATCGCAAGCCACAGCCGGGTCAGAGCTGTTTATCTTCTTCTTCGTAAACTCGACGAAATTTCAGTAAAATAGTTTGCGCCACAAGAGATTAGGGTTTTAAAAACTAAAATTCCCAAAATTAAGCTAATTTAAACCTCACAAAAATCTTCTTCTCTGGTTACTCTGCTATCATATTAAAAAACACGAGCTCCAGCCTCCTTTTCTTTTTAATCTCAAAAATCATTCCTGAAAATTGTGGAAGAAAAGGAACAAATTTACGAAGATGTCAAGCAGTTGTTCTTTTTGTTGTAGACCCATAAATTTATGCCCGATTAAAACTGTGATGTCACCAGGAAAAGTGGAATTTATAACGCCAAGAACGGTTAGGTTTCATTTTGGAAGAATTAGGGCTTCAAAGGTGGAGTCTTATGGGAGCTCTCCTGATTTTGTTGAACGCATGGAACGTGCCTGGTTGATTTCTCAGGTATAAATTTGTTATTAAATTTTTTTGGCTTTTATTGTGATTTATTGTGTATCTTGAAAAATGCCAAAAAAAAAAAAAAAAAAAAAAAAAAAAAAAATTGGGGTTTTTTTAAAAAAAAAAAAAAGAAGAATAATTGGTGTTTTATGCTATGTTTGCTTATATAAAGAAACTAGTAGTAGAGCGGAATACTGGAAAATGAAAATTAAGGTGTTGAACTAGCAGTTAATTTCAATTCTTAAAGAGACAGAGTAGAAAGAACTGAAGAGAGCTCAGCTAACAGAGAAAGCCAAGGGGGGAGATTCACAATGTTTCTTGCTGGGAGAGAAAAATGCACACTTTTAATTTCTTAGTGGTCAAACTGATTGATTTGCAGTTCAAAGGTTTCATGTATAGCATTGTTGCTTCCCTTATTATTACTATAACCAGAGAGAGAGCGCTAACCACTATTTGGTGCTCACATTGGAACTTAATTTTTTGCCAAGCAACATACCATGCATCTCCTAGTCACCAGCCTTTCGCCACATCTTGTCTTACTGATTACCCATTTCACTTTGGAGCCTATAATGTTTACAAGTTTGAACGCCTGGACAGATAAATGTTTTGTGGTTGTTGTTGATCACATAGTCAAGGACTCGAGTTGATCATCTTCATTGAGGTTCCAATCCCCACGGTATTGCACCTTTGGCATAGGTCCTACCTATCCAACTCTTTTCATCAAAATCAAGGTTGATTACTTATCTCCAATCACATGAGAGCACTTCGACATGATCCTCATGGTAGTAACCCCCTGTGAGGTCCATAGGCTCGTGGCTCTCCTTAGTGCTCATAGTTTGTGCCTTGCCTTGGCCCTACCATGGTGATACAATAATCCCTGGCTTGCTTAAACTGCAATCCTAAATAATCAATTAATCATCTAAATACAATGTTGGATGTTCTTGCACAATGGAATCTTACACTTGCCCTATATGTGACATTGCCCCACGACACATCCAGTGAAGCCCTACAGCAATGCTACGCTTTGCAATGCATAGGAGAAATGTAGAGTTGTTGCCAAGGTAACTCACTTGGGCTGGAGGAGTTGGCCATGATTTGCTTAGCCCATAGGGCATAGAGACTGCCAATTTGTAATCTCAAAGATGCCCGCCATGTGACTATGACCAGCATGTTCCTGACTTGTATGGAGACTAACTACTCTTTTGAGAAGCCAAGTATTCCCTAGCCGTTAAAGTTGTTGCTTGCTTAGTGCTCGAAGGGTTCCCTGCAGCAAGGGGAGTTCAGCCACAGCGTATCAAACATGCCCCGCTGATAGTGGATTTAGCAAGAAAAAATTCAAATGAATGGAGGAGATTACTTTTATCTAGGATCACATTGTTAGTATGTTCTTGTGTCCCAATTTCAAATGTAATTCTAAGAATGCTCTAGATCTTCAAATCAAACATATGAACGCTCAACTTTACCACATTCTCTAAACACAAGATACTGGTCTCAGAATATTTTTAAAATTACATCAATACCTCTGTATAGCATGTCCTCAAACAAGATTGTTGAAACCTGCTTAAATGGAATCCAAGCAACCCGAAATTTTGGGGAGGCTTTCTTATATCTCAAAAAACTTCCAACTAGAATTTCTCAATATGGTTGACTAGGCATGATATTTACCTTTTGTTATGTTAAATATGATTTTATTAAGTTGAAGGTTCCTGGAGATTCTTCTTTCTTATCACAGTTGATCAAATAATGAGTTGGTGATGGATTAGCGCTACTGTGGTTCAGATTTAGTTTATATATGTAGTTTTCTAACCTGTAAATAGCATATGAATAATTAAAATGGGACATGGTGCTATTGTGCTAGGAACGGACTGTTATAAACGATAAACTATAGAATTATTATTATTATTTTTCTCTAAAATATGGCAGCAGAATATATTTGTAGAATTTGATCAAATGGGTCTCTTGTAGAAGTCTTTGTTGGATTATGTGATATCGAGATTAAATACTATTTATACCTTTGATGCTCTTCATTTCCCAGGTTGTTTATAATCTCAGCAGTCAATGAATTAAAAAAAATTCTACTGTCCAAGTGTGACCTCATGGTCGCTATGTATGAGTAAGAGAGAGAGAGTGTGTATGTGTCTGTGCGCACGCGCACGCGCGAATAGATTAATAATTTAGCATGTGGTCGCTTTGGCCTACTCCTGAGAAGGTCATCCATCTTAATTTCAGGATGGGTGTTCATTATACAAGGCTTACTTGTCATTGATTTTGTTACAGTGTGATTGTTGAGGTGCAATAAAATTCAGAAGTTGGGTGGCAGGAATGCCTTCTTGTATGTACAAATATTGTTTTGTGTCTTGCGAGTTGCTGTCAACATTTTTATATGTATGCTCTTCTAGGCACATTGTGGGAGGGTAAGTCAGCATGCGAACGACTTCAAATTACAAGAATCTCTCACTGATGTTTCTTTGATTGACACGTCTTGAGTCTAGTTTGGTATCAGGCTCTCTTTTGAGTTAGCGGGTAGGCCTATTGAAAAATTAACCCATGTCAAGAGATGGTGTTTGGTTGTGCTTAAAAGTAATATTTTGATTTTTGCTAAACATGATTTTCAGTGTTACTTTTTTCACTAACATAACTTACTTTTTGGGACAACGAGATTTATTATATTAGGGGGCTACATTCTCTGTGTTCTATGAAGCCTACTTCAAGATATTGTATGGTGGATTTCCATTTTTCCCCCCCATTTAGCATTACCCATTTCCTTAATCATGCAGCAACCAAGGCCTGTTGCTTGTTCCTCTTGTGATTCAAATGGGAATGTCGAATGCAAATGGTGCAGTGGAACTGGTTTCTTTATTATCGGCGATAACATGCTGTGTCAAGTCCCTTCAAGAAACACAGCTTGTGTTATCTGTGCAGGAAAGGTAAATTAGCTATTAAGAGCATGTTTGGTGTGCAATATTTGATAGAATAATATGATGAACGAGGTTGTAGCTTTTTCTTCTTAATATTATTTTGTCCAGTGCTGTATTGTCCAGTAGTTCTGCACATTACTATACAACCAATTCTCAAGTTGATTATATATGCACAGCTAATGAGAGCCTTCATTTGATGCTTTTAGGGTTCTGTATGCTGTTCTGACTGCAAAGGAACTGGCTTCCGTGCGAAATGGCTTGGGGAACCTCCAGTTGCCAAATAATAGCATGACATTTGTGGCAATTGTGCAAAGGTTGCTGCTGCATTGAACAGCTGAATTTCTGTGGTTACAGCTTGAAATCAACTATGTGGTGGAATTTGCCAGCTTAACATCTTTAACATATAATTTATACGGGTCTATAACAGTGATTTTCCACCTCCTTTTTGTGTTTATAAATGTGATACAGTTCCATTATTTCATTATGTCAACAAAATATCAATTGATTTGTAGAATGAACACTGAAGTGCTCAATAGACCATATAGATTGATGTTTCCATTTTGTGCCTTTATTGAACACTGAGCAAGTTCACATTGTGATTACCCTATAGGTTTTACAATCTTGAGAGTTTCTATTTACCAGTAGAGTAGCTTATTCAGCCAAGGCAAGAAAAGTACTAACACAATTTTAGAGAACCGTCTCACGGGCATTTCAAGTTTATATGATCATCATTGTTACAGAAAATTAGTCAACATTTAGTCGCCTTGGACAATTACCAAGAATACCTGGTTGATATTATCGGAGGGTGAGTCCATTTCGTCCTCTGTATAATTGACAATTTTTCAAATAGTTCAATAAAAACATCATATACAACCATTTTTTTTTTTTTTTTTAATAACAAGGATTATGAAGACTAACATCATACCCATTCTCGATCTGACATGAGTTGTCCAGTCGTCAATCGGGTACATTGAAAGTTAAAAGGTTTATGTAGAGGACCAAAGTTCACGAATAACATCACTGACAATGACAAAAGTCGAAAATTTAGCGAGCACCAAAGCAGAATGCTTTATGTCATTGTGCTCCATACAAGCAAATCTTGCCATTTAAATTTTGGTTGTTTCCTGGCAAATAATACTAATTCTTTAAGACAATTTGGAAAACGCAACCATCTACCTTGATAATAATTATATCACAAGACTCGGTATTACATTTATCAATGAAGAGGAGAAAAAAGTCAAATGACAAAGTTCGCAGGGTGGGGGGGGGGGTTGGATAAATTTTATTTTAGCTCTTGTTTGTCCCCCATTATTTTAATTTATAATGGGGGAATAATATTTTTTTGAAGATTGCGTAGTTGAAAAATTTTCGATTTTATTTTAATAGTGAGGCATAGTAAGGAATACAATTTAACTTCTTTGTTTTTTATTGTTGTTTGATAAATTTTATTACATAATATTGAAATGACATGTTATCTGATTGAAGTTCCCTCACTGGTGATAAGAATGCCCATTGTTGCTTGCAACCTCTGCACCATTGATCTATTTCCCACTATGATTGTTCTAGCTTTATCAATTAAATATTTCTCTTTTCGTTTTCCTTCTTGTTATTTTTATTTTTATATACAAAAGTAAATTCGATTTTGAATGTCTCTTTATTACCTAAAATACCCTCTAAGCAAAATCCTCAAGATAAGGATTAGAAAAGTAATTTTCAAGGAAAACCTCATATCAATGTTTTGAAAATCGACCCGGGAAAGAAGAAGGGTCAGGGGTCAAAGGGTCGAACCGGGGTCGAATTGGATAGTAAAAAAGTAAATATAAATAAATATTTTTAAAAACTAAATAAGAATATATAATAATATTATATTGCTAATTAATGTTAGAAGAAACTTTAAACTTTTTATTAATTAAAGAAACATAAAAAATGATTAGTTAACCTAATGGAATAATTAACTATAAAATATAAATACATATACTATTTTAAATTTTAATACACAGTAGCTTCTACAGCCAAAGTTTATCCCACATAGGAATTTTGGAAGAAAAGCTGCCAGAAATTATGCCTATAAATAAGTGGGCTAACAACTTCATTTTTGTACTCACAGGTCTTATGCTTTCCTGTGCCTAACAATTCGTAGGTTGGAATGTACCCAACAACGGATGTGATTAAAAATGCTTACATGGTTTGCCCGATTCAATAAAAATGGATAAAAAGTTGGATTATTGATTTGTAAAAATCGGTGAAACTGGGACCAATTTACTGGTTCATGGTTGAACCGGCCGGTTTTATAAATTTGTTTTGGGCTTCTTTATCTCCGGTTAATAGATTAAGACTGGACCGGATTTGGGGTCGGCTCCAGGTTGAACTGGCCGGTCCGATTTTTAAAACATTGCCTCATATAGAAAATTTTAAAAGAATCTTCAATACAAGAAAATCAAGGTCAAGGGTACTTTGGTCAAGTCCAAGTCGAAGTCGAGCCCAAACCTTTATATGTCAAGGCTTTTTCCTCCACCTTCACCTCCAAAAATCTGTGCGTATTTTCTTGAAGCTTCAGTGGAATTTATCCGTAACAATGGAGATTACACAGAGTTCCAAAAACCCTGTGGAACCACCGGTACGCGTAATTTCTTTCTTTCTCCTTTTTTCCTTTAATTCGTATATTTACATGAATTTTCAGCGTATGAAATTGTTTCAGTATTGCTAAGATTGGATGATTTTATACATGTTGATTTCAATTAGAAACATATGGTCATTTGATAGTATTGAAAGGCCCAGACTCATTCACTTATTGCAGCGCATTATAGGCATTGATATTACTATTTCATAGTATATAGGAAATCATTTACCCCTTTTTGTCCAAATTGGTTGGCCAAAATGCCCGATTTATTTATTTGCTTGGTCATATTGGCGTTTTCAATATTTTTAGTTTTTTTTCCTCCTTTCTATTATTATTATTTTTTCAATAAAAGAGGGTTTTTGGAAACTTCCTTTTCAAAAATGATATCAAGAGCTGATTCCTTCATCAGCAGACTGTTGGTTTGTGGGAAACTTTATTCTTATATCAAACTGTAAGATCATGCTGATAAAAGTTTCATTCAACTAGAAGTCATATAAAATAGATCCCAGTTATTGTAAGGAAATTGCTCTATGTATTGTAAATCTCACATTTCTTAATTATTTTATCTGTTTTGTAGACAGTTGAAGTTGGGATGTCCCGTAGAGGTGCAGTTGCTACCCGACCTGGAATATTGCAACTAAGAGCATCTGGCGGTAATCATTAATGTTGTTCTCACGAGTTTTGTGTGTGAAATTTCTTAAGCAGGATCTTTTGGGCTAAGACAATGGGTTGCTGCAGAAGTTTTAGTTTATGTAATTTCTTTATGTCTCAGATGCTTCAGCCGTTCATCAGGACTTCAGTAAGAATTCTTCTGGTAAAAGACAAAGGTACAAGAAAAGAAGTAGAACAAAATCCGATGGGTCAGAAAGTCTTTCCGATATTGATGATTCTGAGGTATATGCTTTGTTTTTTCACATGCATTATTTGTTTAAATTCTGGCAATGGTTCTTGCAAGTGTTTTTTGTGGAGGTAAGTTCACTTTCATGCTTTGCATGAGAATACCTTTACTTTTGTTTGAATAATCAAAACTTCTATGCACCCTAGAAATTTCTAATGCTTCTTCTTTTGTCCTGTACCTTGCTGAATTCTGTTAATGAAATCTTTTTGGTCGTTGGTAATATCTAACATTTTCACAGCTGATAAGTCAGTAAGAATTACATCTTGTGAAAAGGAAAAGGATGCATAGTTCAGAATATGAAAGGGAACCAGCCATTTATAACTAGAGCCCTGAGCTGGAGATTCATTTGAGCAAATTTTTATTCTTTTCAGATTGTTGGATATCTTAACAACAAAAAGGAGATGCATTTGAAAAGGATGTTATGGGAAGCAATGAATAAAGACCATGTAAAGGTAAGGCCTTGTTTACTAATACTCCTCAAGATCTGCCTTGCATTTTGAGTAATTTGGCAGAATTTCTAGCCTATAATTTGTTTTATTGAGGGTTATTGGCCTATCTTACCAGCCTTGCTTCACCTCAATGTTGTCTTACATTTCATCTTGTTTTAGCTCAATTAAAGTGTGGTTTGTGTTCTTTTACCTTTTTCCTTTGTATGGGCATATTTTTCGTATTTCCAGCCTTTTTTTGTCTGTTTGTTATTTTATTTTCTTTCTATTCTATAAGCAAGTTAGAGTGGAGAGTTATGTTATTCAGATGCTCACTCTCTCTGAATGTATTTTTGTGACTTGTTTAGATACAATCTATAGATTCTAGGCTTCTAGCTTTCACATAGGTGCTGACCAGTAGAATTATTGAACTATACGTATTTGTGCTGCTGTCATGATGTTTGATCTTTTATGTCCTTGAATTATTGGGGGAGAATAACGTTAAGTCACAATATGAGACTAATATTTCTTTTAAACCATAGAAATTAAAGCATCCCTTTTCTTGGTTGTGAGTTTGGCATATATCCTACTTATTTATTAATAACATTTAAAGAAAAAAATATGACCAGATTTATTTGATTGGAGAATTTGTTTTTGAAATATCTAGTTTCATCTCCAAAACTTAGGTATCTCGAAGAATTTAGTTTTACCTTCAAGCTAATTTTTTATAAGAATTAATTCTTCGCTAATTCCAACTTATGAAGTTATGTTCAATGGGGCAGTAATTGGAGCACCTTTATCTTAACTAAATTATTTGAAGAGAAAGTGAAACCAGATTTCTTCATAAATGAACTATCTGGCAGCACTGTGAATAAAATTCTCTCATAAACTATTGTGCATAACTCCTTATTATTTTCTTCCCTCGACCTCACCTTCACCATGTTCACATTTTCTGCCGATGCCATGCAACTTAAGTATAGTGATTTCAGGTCTCATACATACTTGTTATCCAATATTACAAGAAAACCTGTTTTCAGCATTTTAGTAGTCTTCTAAACATTTATTAGCTGATGTAAGGCCCTTATATTTTATCGATATTGATGTGAACACTGAACAGCTTATGATATTGCGACTTGTCTTTAGGTTTCAACATTCTTTTACCTACGTTTCCCTCACCGTAAGATTTGAACTTTTCAATTGGGGTTAAATTTGACTGCTGTGTAAATTGGTGATAAATTTCAGGTTAAGAAACAAAAAACAGCAACTGAAACAAAGGAAACTACCTCTGCAAGGAAAGCTGTTAAAACCATCGAGAAATTGGAACAAAAGGTAAAAAATTAGGTTTCAATGAGAGTTTTTGTTTGTTCGCTATCTGTTTGCTACAATATGATGTAAAACTCAAGATATTGTTGAAGGTAACAGGGAAATTATGGTCTTTTGTCTCTCGTCATTTGTTAAGTTCTTGTTGTATGACGATTTCAATCCCTACAAGCTGGAGTATGTTTGCATTGTAATTTACATGTGATAACATGAATCCTATTTTTGCAGAAGAGAAGTTCGAGAATCAATTATGATGCTTTGAGACTCCTAAATGATGATATGGTACGTATTTTATGCTCTTGTTTTGGCTTCATTTTTATTGGGTCGGAAAGTGTAAAACTAACATGTAACTAGATTAAGGGTTCTTTGCATTTCTTGTTTCCCATACTTCATTATTTATCATTTCAGGAACAAGGTTCTGGTACGGCACACAACATCGATTTGAAACTCGACTCTTGGAGAAATGACTATTCACAGAATGAAAGCATTACCACATACAAAATACAAAAATCTGAAGAGGGCAATTATGATGAAGATGAAGATGAAGATCAACAGCAGATCATTTGTGGTGAAGATGATTTTATATACAGTCATCATAATGATGCGATGCCTTACGGGTATGAAGATAAATATAACGAAAATTTTGATTTCGAGGATTAGTTTGGAGATAGTTGGGAATCATGGTTTTTGGACAATGTCAAGTAGTTAACTAATTTTTGGGGTAGTGCTTACTATATTTCTATTGAAAAATACCCCTCAACTCTACTTGAATTAAAATTGTGTTCTGTAGTGTTTCTCCATAAAATTGATCCAATATTCAGTCAGTATTCTTATTATATCCAGAAACAGCAACTTATGATTTGAAATTAACATATTCAATTTAGAATTTTATAGTCACAGTCATGGTCGACATACAAAAAATGGTATATTATCATTTTTTATGTTCTCTATTCTAGTGTTCACGGTAGAACATTGTCTCTGTGTGAAGGTATCATCATCAAAAGGAAAAGATATAAAAATTATATTTCATGCAGTGGATTGCCTGCATCAAATGGAATGTTTTCTATAAAACTGAGTGTGTTTAATGGGGCCGAGTTGGATAAGTTCATAAATTTTCAGCTCGATTCTAATCACGATTGCTCTAATGGTATTGTCGTGTTCATTCTTTTTTGCCCGTGCATGGTGGGAAGTTCTACCCAAGTTCCCAACAAGGCCAACTCAAAACTGATTTATTCGTGTTCCTTTTGCTAGTTCAATAAAATTGATCAATTGCCCAACTCGATCCCAATCAAGACTGCTCGACTAGTGGTCAAATTTAATGGCTAGTTGTGCTCCAAATTTCTACGTGGACCTTAAAATCATATGCCGTCAAGTACAACAGGGTTCTCTTCAAACTTGCCAATATCAGCATAAAAACTTATTATTAAGAGTCTGCTGAACCAACTCTCTCAATGAAATATATTTCCAATGTCTATGTGTGTGTGTGTGTGTGTGTGTGTGTGTGTGTGTGTGTGTGTGTGTGTGTGTATATATAGAGAGAGAGAGAGAGAGAGAGAGAGAGAGAGAGAGCAAATTGCAAAGACGGTACTGTATTAGACATAACTGAACAGTAGAATAAGACAAAAAAATATAACTTATTTTTATTGTTCAATACTGTATAATCATATCGAAGGCCATTTGAGATAATCTTCAACCGACATGCTATTGCCTGCATACTCGATAAGGGTCATGAGCATGCTATAAATTCCATCAACGACAATGCGCTCTCGTCTGAAATTGGATAACTTATTACCCAGTATCAAAGCAATGGCTATAAATGACGAAGTTTTCGAACTTAAAACTATAAGGTACTAAAGATCCGGAAAATACATCTTGTATCCTTACAAGTCCGTGCACACTTTCTGAATCAAAATCAGTATACCAATGACCTTTCTCGTTCCTATAAGAGGCCACATTAGTTTTAATAAAGTTCACTACAATTGGGTAAATTCTGTCTGCTTATATGTAAGTTCATTGAGTGATAATTATTATAAATTAATACCTCTCGCTAATCCATGAATTTATGTAATCATCGAGAAAGCGTAAATCATACAAAAAAAGAATATCCTTTCTGCGAATCAATCATTAGGTAAACTGTACGGTACAAGAGCAACAACAAATTACGCAAACTTGCCAATTGAAAACCAGGGAAACAACAAAGAATCTATGCTAAATCAATGAAACAATTACACGAAGAATAGGGTCGATCGTCGTCAAAAAAGACAATCGAATGGTCAAGTTGTCAACCTGTGTTGACATCAGACATCATCAAAAAATTTAAAATCTAATCCTGCCTACTTATATGCGTAAGATGTCGCTCAAAATTCATACGACGTCAAAATTTTCGTTAAAACCCTACAGGTGTGGAAACGGAATCATCGAACAAGAAGCTGAAGCAATTTGTTTATTCATCTCCCCTGCTTGAAGCAAAGCTTTCAATTCCTCTTCAAACGCTTCAAGTTCCTGCAAATCCACAATTTCCATGTTTTCGTTCTCCCACCCAAATTCCCTCGTTGCCTCATCATTTTCACTTCTTTCTTCAACCAAAAGATTGTGGGAAGTCGGGTCTGACTCAGTAGAGAAGGAATCATCAAGAAATTGGTACCGGTTCATCTCCCCTGCTTGAAGCAAAACGTTCAATTTCTCTTCAAATGCTTCAAGTTCCTGCAAATCCATAGTTTCCAAGTTTTCTTTTTGCCACCAAAATTCCCTCGTTGCCTCATCATTTTCAATTCTTTCTTCAACCAGAAGATCGTGGGCAGTCAGGTTTAACTCAGTAGAAAAGGAATCATCAAGAAATTGGTACCGTTTCATCTCGCCTGCTTGAACCAAAACTTTCAATTTCTCTTCAAATGCTTCAAGTTCCTGCAACTCCATGGTTTCCAAGTTTTCTTTCTGCCACCAAAATCCCCTCGTTGCCTCATTAATTTCACTTCTTTCTTCAACCAAAAGATTGTGGGCAGTCGGGTTTGACTCGGCAGAAAATGAATCATCAAGAAATTGGTACCGGTTTAGAATGGATTCCACCGAGGGTTCGCCAAAAGTGAAAAATTTGTTCCCCGGAGATTGGATGAGGATTGCAATATTTGCGCCGCACAATAGGCTCGTTTCCGCCGCCTTTTTGAAAAGACCGGTTCGCCTCTTTGAGAAGGTAACCTGAAGACTGTTTTTATTGTCAATTTTCCGAATTTCAATCTTCCGCCTACCCTTTGTTTTCTTCTCCAGATTGTTGTTAGACTTCGTCATGGCTGAAAAAGGGAGGGAAAATTTTGATCGATGCGGATTGAGTTCAGTAGAGAGTGTTTTCGGCGGGAGAGAGAGGTGCAAAGATAGGTTTTTTAACGGTAACAAATTTTTATTTAAGAATGAGTCGGTGCTAATTTTTGAATTGCTAACGGTAATATTCTGAGGTCAAGGGTTCCACTTAAAACTCGCTTATACTCTGCGCATATTTACTTTGAAACTTCAGCGATATTTCTTTATCGATGGAGATTACTCAAACTTCCAAAAACCCTTTGAAGCCACCTGTACGCGTAATTTCTTTCCTTCTCTCCTTTTACTCCCTTTCAATTCGTATATTTTCATGAATTTTCAGCCAATGAAATTGTTAAATATTGCTAAGATTGGATGAATATATACACGTTGATTATTCTACGCAGTGATATTACTATTTCAGTGTATAGGCAGTCATTTACCCTTTTTGTCCAAATTGATTAGTAAAAATTCCCGAATTATTTATTTGCTTGAAGATCAGTCTCATTGGTGTTTTCAATTTTTCTCCTTTTTATTTTTTATTTTTTTCAATAAAAGAGGGTTTTTGGAGACTTTTTTTTGTTTTTTTCAAATATGATATCAAGAGTTGATTCCTTCACCAGCAGAGTGTTGGTTTATGCGAACTTTATTCTTTTATGAAAGTGTAAGATCATGCTGATAAAGTCCTTTTAAGGTTTCATTCAACTAGAAGCCATATAAAATAGATCATAGTTATTGTAAATCTCACCTTTCTTATTTATATTATCTGTTTTGTAGACGGTGGAAGTTGAGACTTCCCGCGGAGTGGAGTTGCTACGCGACCTGTAATGTTGCAACTGAGAGCACTGGTTGTAATCTTTAATGTTGTTCTCATGAGTTGTGTGTATGAAATTTCTTATGCAGAATCTTTTGGGCTAAGATAATGGATAGCTGCAGAAATTTTAGTTAATAAGAAAAGAACTAAATCTGGTAAAAAACAAAGGTACAAGAAAAGAAGTAGAACTAAATCTGATGGCTCAGAAAGTCTTTCCGATATTAATGATTCTGAGGCATATGCTTTCTTGTTTCACATGCATTATCGTTTAAACTCTAGCAACGGTTGTCACAAGTGTTTTTTTATGATGGTAAGTTATTTCGTGCTTTCCATGAGAATACCTTTACTTTTGTTTGAATAATCAGAACTTCTATGCACCCTGGAAGTTTCTAATGCTTCTTTTTTAGTCCTGTACTTTGCTGAAATCTGTTAATGAAGTTTTTTCGTTCATTGATAATATCTAACATTTTCACCAGCTGATAAGTCATTTAGAATTTCATATCGTGAAAAAGAAAAAGATGCATATTTCAGAATATGATAGGGAATCTGAGTTGGGGAAGCATTTAAGCAATTTTTTATGCTCTTCAGATTGTTCGATATCTTAACAACAAAAAGGAGATGCATTTGAAAAGGATGTTATGCGAAGCCATGATTAAAGAACATGAAAAGGTAAAGCCTTGTTTACTAATACTCTTCAAGATTTGCTTGCATTTGGAGTAATTTGGCAGAATTTCTAGTATACAATTGGTTTGATTGATGTTATTGGACTATCTTACCAGCCTTGCTTCACCTCAATGTTTTCTTACATTTCATCTAATTTTAGCTCAATTAAGGTGTGTTTTGTGTTTTTTTGCTTTGTTCCTCTGTATGGGCATATTTTTCCTATTTCCTTCCCTTTTTGCCTGTTATTATTTTATTTTCTTTCTATTCTACAAGTAGGTTAGGATGAAGAGTTATGTTAATTCGGATGCTCCCTCTCTCTTAATGTATTTTTGTGACTTGTTAAGATACAATCTATAGATTCTAGGCTTCTAGCTTTCACATAGGTGCTAGCCGATAGAATTATTGAACTATACGTATTTGTCCTGCCGTCATGACGCTTGATCTTTTATGTCCTTGAATTATTATGGGAAAATGTAATATGTGATAAAATATAATATGAGTTCTGATTGTGCAAAATAGTCTCTATAAAATGATATTATGATATTCTCTTTAAGTCACAATATGGGATCAATATTTCTTTTAAACCATAGAAATTAAAGCATTCCATTTCTTGGTTGTGAGTTTGGCATATATCCTTCGTATTTATTTAAAACATTTAAAGAAAAAATTTGACCAGATTGATTTGATTGGAGAATTTGTTTTTGGAATGTTTAGTTTCACGTCCATAGCTTAGGTATCTTGAAGAATTTTGTTTTGTCTCCAAAACAAATTTTTTAAGAGAATTAATCCTTAGCTAATTCCAACGAAATTATGTTCAATGAGGCAGTAACCGCAGCACCATTGTCTTAACTAAATTAATTGAATAGAGTGAAACCAGATTTCTTCAGACAGGAGCTATCTATCTGGCAGCACTATGTGAGTAAAATTCTCCCAGAAACTAATGTGCATGACTCCATATTATTTTCTTCCCTCCATCTCGCATTATCCGTGTTTATGTTTTTGGTCAATGCCATGCAACTTAAGTATAGCGACGGCAGGTCTCTTAATTATTTGTTATACAAAATGTAATGAGAAACTCTGTTTTAAGCATTTTAGTAGTCTTCTAAACATTTCTTAGCTGATGTTGAAATATCGACAGGGCCCTTACATTTTATCGATATTGATGTGAACATTGACAGCTTATGCTATTGCGCTGGTTTCAACATTCCTTTTCATACTTTTTCCTCCCTGTAAGATTTGAACTTTTCAATTTGGGATTAAATTTGACTGCTGTCTAAATTGGTGATAAATTTCAGGTCAAGAAACAAAATGCAGCAACTAAAACAAAGAAAACTACCTCTGCTGGGAAAGCTGTTAAAACCATCGAGAAATTGGAACAGCGGGTAATAAATTAGGCTTCAATGAGAGTTCTTTTTTCTCTCTGTTTGCCACAGTACGATGTAAAACTCAAGACATGGCTAAGAGTAATAGGGAAATTATGGTCTTTTGTCATTTGTTAAATTCTTGTTGTATGACGATTTCAATCCCTACGAGCGAGCTGGAGTATGTATTGTATTCTACATGTGATGTCGACATAAATCATTTTTTTGCAGAAGAGAAGTTCGAGAATCAATTATGATGCTTTGAGACTCCTAAATGATGATATTGTAAGTTCGAGAATCAATGCTGATACAAATACTCGATTCTTGGAGAAATGACCCTTCACAGAATGAAAACATTACTACACCTAAAAATGCAAAGATTTGAAGAGGGCAATTATGATGAAGAATCTTCATAATGAAGATCACTTGTAGCGACGGTGTTATATTCGGTCATCATAATGCGATGTCTTACGTGTATGATGAATATGACGAAAATTTTGATTTCGAGGATTAGTTTGGAGATAGCTGGAAATCGTTGTTTTTGAACAAAGTCAAGTAGTTAAATAATTTTCGAGATAGTATTTAATACAATTGGTAAATTCCGTTTGCTTATTTGATTATTTCAGTTGTAATTTTTTTTTCTTCACTTTCAGGTGGGATTTACTTTTTTTTTAATGGTCAAAAAATCAATTCTCATAATCCCTATCGAATTTTAAATAAAAAGATATAGTCGCTCACTACGGTGGTCTTCATGCGTAGCATTTTACGTGACGATTTGTAATTTGATGTATTGATGTGATAGTTTTTTTTGCTTCATATATCAACTCACTAATCGTCATATGTATGCTACGTATAACGACTACGATATTGAGTGACTGCAAATAATATTATTCAAAGAAATAATTTAAAATTTTGCTTTATTGAAGCATATTGGTCCACAATTTTAAAGATTTGCCATACTGACAGATTTTATCAACTCTGTGAAGGTTATTAAAAATTTAGTTGTTTTAAATCGCCTATTAAATATAACAGAAAAAAAATTCCTTCTTCCAATTAATAATACTCAAAAGTAAAAAATAATGATATTTTTCATGTAGAAGAACCATTATCTGTAATCATGGAAATTTGTATTTTATATATTTATTTATTTATTTTGTTATTTTCCTCCATAAAACATAGCTTTGTGTGGTCAACAAATAGCTCAATTTATTCATACGTACAAGAAACCTTGTATGGTGTAGATAAAATTTAGAATGTTAGTAAATTTTGGTAGGTGGGTTATTGTAAAATTAATAAAAGTTGTGGATCCTATAAAATTTGTAGTTAAAATTAATTATTGAATTTTATTTAGTCTTCTATGATCTATCAATTTTTTAAACCTCGCCAAAAGAGGCAACAAGATTATTTAGGATAACGAATAAAGATTTTTTTTTTAATATAAAGAAACGAAATTTTTGTTTAAATTTCTAGCGAAAGCCACTAATTAATACATAAGAGTGTACCTCATTAGGGTTGATTATGTGGGTTTAACCAACAAGAGGACACATGAAAAGTGAAAATAATTGTATTTCAAATAAGTCAACACAAATCTTTTTAAATAAAAACATATAATTTAAAATTTTGCTTTATTCACGCATATTTATATTGCTCACAATTTTAAACATTTACATTATTAACAGATTTTATCTGGTCTGTGAAGGTTATTAAAAAATTAATTGTTTTAAATCATCTATTAAATATAACAGAAACAATTTCCATCTTCCAATTAATACAGGTTAATAACCCAAATAGTCATTGAACTTTGAAAAAAGGTTTCACAGGGTCACTAAACGTTAAAAATCATCTCCGTCATCACTAAATATTGTAAAAGATTTCCATGGGGTTACTAAACTATACAAAAAGGTTCCATGGGGTCACTAAATTAGTGATTCTCTGAGAAACTTTTTGTAAAATTTAGTGATGAATGTGATGATTTTTAAAGTTCAGTGACCTTTGAAAACCTTTTGTAAAATTCAGTAACCCCGTAAAAATATTTTGCAAAGTTCAATGATGATTTAGGTGATTTTTAAAATTAAGTGACAAAGTAAATTTTTTACAAAACTCAATGACCATTTGGATTAATAACTCCAATCAATGCACAAATAAAAGTTGAGGTGTTTTAGATTTTTCATTAAACGTAGGAAAAAACGATTCACGTAATTCACCACAAATACATCGAGAATAAGACATAGCACCTGTTTGGCCCCCATTCTTTTTAAATTTTAATGGTTGAAATAAAGTTTTTTGAAAAATGTAAAGTTGAAAAAGAATGACAAGTTTTTGATTTGCGTGTTCCATCTCCACAATACAATTTTTTTCTCGACATATAATCTCTTCTTAATAAATGAGAAGACATCAATACATATTTTGACATGTTAGAATATTATATCTTAACATCTTTCCATTTTTAAGATATGATGTTTCTAAGTGTAAAATATGCATTAGAATAAAAATAAATTAGGACAACAAATTTCAACTCGATACAATAAAAAATAATTAAAAAATTGCATAAATATTTAGGGGCACTTTTCTTGGAGTACATGCAATGGCTTCTTTCCTCGACTTTGAGAAAATCTTTTTAAGGTCAAGGAGAGGAGATAGTGTTGCTAATGGGTTGGTCAGGCCTCAACTTTATTAAATCTCAAAAATCAAACACCATTATCCCATAATGGAACCATTAAAAGATAATTAATTAGTAAGCGATAAGCCCTGTTTGAGGAATATTAAAATTTAGATTTTAATTTAAGTTAGCCCCTGTCTCGCTGTGCTTTTTCACCAAATTTTCAGCCAAAATAGAGCTGTTGGTCCAAGCTGCGGGTCTCACCTCACGCACAGGCAGTCAAGAATTTTGGGCTGCAACGGTAGGAAAATTGCTGCCAACAGTCACTTTTTTGTATTTAATTTCTCCCCGACAGGCTATCAAAATCAATAATTATTTTTAATCATATATTTAATGAGATTTTCGACTTTTCAACGAAACATTTCACGAGCTTTTATTTAAATCTGTCTAAAAATTTAATTTTAATTTTCACTAAATAAGGACTAATGATTAGACCAAATGCTTGAATTATAACCATAAATTATTGACTCCCCCCACAAGGAAAAAGGGGTAGCAATGCCCATAAACTAATTATCAAAACGAGTTCATTAAGCTATTTGATAGGGTTTCAAGCATGAATTTATTAGTCATATGTAAATATTATTTGACAACATAGATCATTTTTTTCATCGAAAGTGGAAAGGTTATATTAAATTAAATTAAATTCTAGTCAGTGGATCACACTTAAGTCACCATTAAGCATTGGATGGTAATAACCCTTAAAATAAAGGGTTTCAGATTTAAAATAAAAATACAGTCTTCTTGAGTGGCATAATGGAGAAATATGACCCCATCGACGGAATCAGCAATGAAGTGATCTTGATCATACATGGGTAGCTAGGTATATGTACATAAACGTCATGTTTACGTAATATTAGGTTTCTTCAAGATATAGATTCTTTGAAACTCTTTTTTCTAAACTTATTTTTAGTCATACATTTTTCGAATAAAATAATTTTGCACGTGTAGTTATAATTTCTCTACGCTTTTTAATCTTTTATTTAAAAAAAAAATCATAAAATTTATTTCAAAAAAATTAAATCTAAGAAACCTTAGATATACAATTCATAAAAATCTTATTTTTGTTAGTTATTAATATGGCAAGGTTATCGTGTTCTTAGAATTACCTAATGTGCCCAATAACCAATGACCCAATATTCTTGATGTTGAAAATGGAAACTAAATTTTATACCATTGTAATTTGTGAGGAATAAAATCATAGAAAGAAAATAGACACATTAGAATGTGTAAAATTTATAGAAATTTGTTTCAATGTGAAACTACATCTTCTTTCGGCATCTAATAATTCACTATGCGAAAAGAAGTTTAAAAGAGAAAATTCGAACACATTATCTTCTCTGACCTCTCTTTCTTTCATAATCATTTAAAAACACTAACGAGAATTCCCTATTTATTTATCTTAAAAATAGGGTAAAATCAAAATTACAATATAAAATTCCTAAACTTAACACTTGATATGAGATCAAGGCTCCCTATTTACGATTCACGCAAGGACTCATTGATAATAATCAAGTTCCACAATTTAACACTTGATGTGATAGAGCCTATTCAAAACGAGAGTAGTTGAATGTCTTAGCCCTTATTTGGATATAGTTTGTAAATTATTTGTAATTGATTAAATCATTTTTCCTCCACATATTTCATAAAATTTACAAGTACCATCCATCTATTTACCATTCATTTATATTTATTTATAATTTAAATAGTATATGAAGAACTTCCAAATATATTTTTAGTTGACTATGAAAGCTTATCGATTACACACAGAAAACCCCTTTTCAAACTCTTTTTTTTTCCCTTTTTTTTTTGGATACACTCCTAACCCTATTACCTAATAGCTAATAGTCGCCCCCCGGGGCACAGCTCAATTGGGGAATCAATCAACATTGGCTTGCTTCCAGCGATAGGGTGGAGAGTTCGATTCCTAGTGGGAACCTGCGGTCAAAAATTTGGTATAAAGCAATCACTGTGGAGGAGGGTCTCTTGTGCGCAGAAGTGTACAGTCAATAAAGGGAACATGTGATCCAGTTGAGGCATATCTCGCGATTTACCCCCTCTAAGGTTCTAGAGGCATGGGTGTTGGAGGTCCAAAATTTAGTTTGGTGTAAGTTGGGATACCTGGATAAAAAAAAAAAAAAAAATAATAATAATAGCTAATAGTTCAAAGTCACCAATGATATTTTAATATAATCGAGGAGCCACACCAACTTTGGTTGACCATTTGTAACTTTCATCTCATTTATCTCCTTGTCTTGGAGATTTGTTTTGAGAAGCTTCTAACAAAATGCAAAGGGACAAAATTAAAAATAACCATAACAACAAAAGCATTAAAAATTTCGCCACCCCATTAGTGTTACATAAAATTTGTTCACGAGGTCATAGTACAGTGGAAAAATCATGAAAATCATAAATTTTGGAGGTAAAAACTAATAATAATAATAATAATAATAAATTGTTAGAATCATTTTAAACCCATGTTTGGTGTAGCTAAAAATCAAAATTTGAATATATTTTTGATAAAATTTGATGAAATATGTATTTAAAAAGTTATAAATCCTATTAAATATGTGGTTAAAATTAATTGTTGATTTTAACTTCATTTTTTGTCTATTTTGTAAGTTACATCAAATAGGGTTAGTCTTGTTTACCTTATCGTACTAGATAGTAAAAACCTATTAAATTCATCAAGAATTGAAACAGAAAAAAAAGTGATATATTTCAAAAGACTGAAATTTAAAAAAAAAAAAAAAAAAAAAAAATTCCGTTCATTCTAACTAACAAAGCGTAAGTCCTTAACTCTAGCAATAGCATCTCCAAACAAGTACAGGTCAGCTAGCGATTCAAGTGGAAAAGAAAGGTAAAAATTATCGATAACATTCGGATTGAAAGTTTTTATTCAATTATTATCAGTCGAAGGTAAAAACTGTAAAGTACTAAAGATTCGGGAAATACA